TATATATATATATATATATATATACATGAAGACATCAAAAATTGTTTTATACCCTTCTTACAGGAAACACACCTGCCCATCTATGAGCGTCCACGCTCCGGGGACTTTGTCATGGCCACGGATCCAGTTGTGGATGGCCTCAGCTGGCTGAGCCAAGTTAACCTGTGATACACATGGAGAGTCACAGTCACTGCTCTGATCATTAAAATGAAGTTTCACACCACACTGAACTGGCTGCCCCTCTCTGAGGAGCACAGGGAAACAGCCAACCAACCTCCTGGCCCAGAATAGCAGCCTGGAGCATGCTGCCAACAACGTGGCACTCCGTGACTAATCAGAAGGCAGTTAGGTTAAACTCCACCACTGGTTTTCTACTAATAGGACAAACCAGTATGAACCAGTCAGAAGCTGCTGTTTCACTGGATGACATAAGGCTCACAGTAATAACTTTCCACACAGAGCTCTGACTGAAGACGTTATGACACTGAGCAGAATTACAAGCTGTGTGTGGGTACATATACAGGTGCTGGTCATACAATAAGAATATCATGAAAAAGTTGATTTGTTTCAGTAATTCCATTCAAAAAGTGAAACTTCTGTACTATATTCATTCATTACACACAGACGGATATATTTCAAATGCTTATTTCTTTTAATGTTAAGATGATTAATGGTTCTTTTTATGTTTAAGAACCAAACACCAGAGATCTGATGTTTGGTTCTTCTGTTGATCCAGTCAGAGGGGTTCTAGAGCTCCTCCTCTGTGCAGAGTCAGACCTGGGGCTTGGTCAACTTCCGTGTTGAAAATTTTTTCTTATTCTTGTGCAGATTTTGTGGCACTGCATAAATACTTCGACCCTCTGTCAGAAAGGAGAGGGGATTGTTTACCTGTTCGAGGGAGAGGGTGAATGCAAAGTGTGATGGGCATGGTTTTTATGTCAGAGCTGCAGCATATAACACACTAATCGTTATATTATCTGCAACGATTATGTATCGTCACACCGGCTCAGTGAGCAGACAGATCAGTTTCATCCTCTGAAGACCAGACAAAAAACATCCACACGAACGAAATGGACCCCTGCGAGTGCGTCAAGACTGGAAACTGCAAATGCGGAGAATCCTGCAAATGCACAAACTGTGCATGCACCTCCTGCAAGAAGAGTTGCTGCTCATGTTGCCCATCAGGCTGCAGTAAGTGCGTATCTGGCTGCGTGTGCAAAGGGAAGAGCTGCAATAAGAGCTGCTGCCAAAAATGATACTGAACTGTCGCCACACCCCCGCCCCCTCCTTTTGTGGCTCTTTAGAATGTTATGATTTTTAGATGAGAAAATATAACGTGTTTTTGTACCTGTCTTGTAAAAATAAATGTATGTAATAATGGGGGCGGCTGTGACTGAGTGGTAAGAGCAGTCGTCCTCTAATGCGAGAATCCACCACCAGTCACACCTCGAAGTGTCCCTGGGCAAGAGACTGAACCCCTCATAGCCTCTGATGTGTGTCCCATCGGTGTATCAATGTGATAAAGCACTGATTAGTCTCATTAGAATGATTTGTTCAATTAGCTATGAAGAGAACTAATAGAGTGCTGTGTAAATGGGTGAATGAGGACACAGATTGTAGTGTAAAGCACTTTGAGCATCTTGAAATAAGATAGAAAGGTTCAGTATAAGTCCAGTCCATTTACCATTTACCATATACTATTATAGTCCATTTTGTATGTTGCTTTGTGTGTTAACCGTTTTCTGTTTGTACAGCACTTTGGTTGGCCTTGTGGCTGTTTTAAGTGCTCTAAAAATAAAATTATATGGTATGGTATACACACACACACACACACACACACACACACACACACACACATATATATATATATATATATATATATATATATACACACACACATATATACTAGGGGTTGAATGAATATAAAATTTTTAAACTCGACATTAACATAATAAAACCTGAGTAGAACTAGAGTATTTGATGACGTCATAGATCCCAAGATGCAAAAATAAATAAATAAATAAAACCGCAAAAAAAGGTAATTATTTACAAAAAAAGACCAACAAAACATTGGGAGCGTATATTATGCTACTACCATTTATCATACTGCAAATAAGTCACAGGAAAAACTAAACTATTAGTTATTATTATTAAACTACAAACGTGAAGAAACATGCAGCCCGTCAAAAATGAAACTTAAACCGAAACTGGTTCTGGTTCGGTGTTACACTATACTCCATGACCTGCAACAGTGCAACACCGCCCCCTACGGTCATACGGTGGTCAGATAATATGACATCACTACAGATACTCGGCGTAACATTTTTAACCTCGATAGATGTCCTAGCAATCGATGTGTAGATTACTCGAGTACTCCGTTAATGCCCTAATATATACATATATATATACACACATATACACATACATATATATATATATACATACATATACACATACATATATTTATATATACATACAT